CGGAAGTATGCACGAGTATAATTCTTGCGAGGAAGCCATTCGGTGAACGGCAAGGGAGGCATGATATTAGGATCCGCCTCGCAAGTCTTTGTAGAGTCAGGCGACGATGGTTGCAGCTGGATCTGAGGAGTTTGAGTTGTCGGCGCTACACGGTCGACTGGATGCTTGAACCGAAGGGCCGCATGATCGTAGCGTTGCATGCCCCAGAAGAACCCAATTATGGAGAAGAGCGCGATAAGAGGGAAAACGGTTTTGAGCCGAAAGACAGGCATCTTGGTGGAGTTATGAAGGTCAAGCGACTTTTTCCACATTAAAGTAATCGCGATGCTGCCGAATCAGCGGATTGAAATATTAAAGAGTGCGTCTATCCGTATTAAGAGCACATCAACGGAGAGCGAATAGTCGTAAAGTGAATGCGTATCGCACAGCTGTCCAAACTTAACACGCCGGAGATGATTAAGTGTGGGTTTCTTGTGTAAAGGAGTGGAATTGGCAAGATCAGGAGAAATTCTCTGTGATATGCTCTAAAGTCTGACAACGAGAGTCTGGCAGCGTCGAGACCTGCGACACGGTCACAAAAAAAGTAAAAAAAGAGCGATAGGCGGACTGAAAGACGGTCCGGCGAGACTGTTTCGTTTGGGACACCTCAGGAATGGGGTGTCGAGAAGGTCGTAAAGAGGTCCAACAAAGGAGACAAAGAAGCAGCACAACTGGACTAGGTGTCCAGGGCTAGAGAAGAGAATCAGGCGGATTAGGATGGAAGGTCGAGGATATGATTGTTGTCGAGGCCTGGAGGAGGATGAGAGAAGAAGGGAATAGGGGAAGAAGAGGGGGAAAAGGGTAAAAAGTATGAGGGAAAGATGAAGACAGGAGACAGGCACAGGAACCGATCCAAGTGGGAATGCCGAAATACTGGACCACGGGTTGCGTTCGGGCCAAAGCTCCCACTTGGTAAATTAAATCTGTTAAATCAAATTAAGCTCAACCGTGGTATTTTGCACTTTCCTAGGTGGATTAAACGGAAGGGTTGAAGAGGCAGAGATGGTAGTGATCGCTTGACGATTTTGTACTGGGATCTGACAGTGAGCAGCGGGACGAATTGGCCCAATCGAGAGATTGCAGGTTGATGCAGAATGCTCGCCAGGATCCCAGAGGAAGAAAAATAAGGTATTCAAGTGTTCTCTTACGAAGGCATGCTTTTCGTCCACATGAAATAATATATTATTATTTATGGTTGTTGACTGTTGACGCCTCCCGCAATCTCTTCTTTTCTATTTTCCGATTTCGCCATCTACCCAAGTAGAAGTACGTAGTAACAAGGTATGATTGCAGATCACTGGACCGAAAAAGAAGAATGTCGCTCAGATGTATGGACTATCTCGGGAATACGTACTGCGGGTTCTTCCCAACTCCGCCAAGTGGGTGGTTGGTATTTTTCACTTCCGGCCTTCAAGACCCTTGCAATCTAGCCGATTTGACGACAGTGCTTGACTGTTTGACACATTGTTGGTTGGACGATCCCGGCTTCTCGAGCGTGTTTTACAGGAGATTGCTTAACTGAAGCGACACAAAACGGCGGAAGAAAGATCTGATCTGATCTTGATTCTGCGGATAACATATAATATCTGAGAAAACATCAACCTTTTGTTGATTACTGTCCCAATGAGGAAAAGAAGTGGAAGGAAGGACAAGTGATGCAACTGTCTAAGCTGCGGGAATGTGGGATCCTCCGTTCAGTAGCTACTTGGATCCGACTCGGTGCCAATGATACCATGTCTTCGAAGGGAATTTGATTGCGGAGCGAAGCGTAGCATGTTATAACCTTACTATTATCACCCATGTTGACATGGTTTTTCACTCTGATACGTCGCTATTGTGGTCAGCACCCGGAATGATTTGACGCCATACAGAGATATCCTAAATATGTGGAATGTTTCCAATGGATGGTTGCGGCCATTTTGTCTCAATCCCATGACTGATGTCATAACTATTATTTTCTCTACTTCATTCCTTTGAAAGAGATATTCATAACATCGTAACCGCGTTGAGAACCCGTTGTAGCATTTGCATTACTGATTGACTTCTGATACAGACCATGTCAACTGCCAATACATATGAAACACTACCATTATCCACCTAAAGAGACTATGTCTGCTGGCTGTATTGACTGCGAATCAAAAGATCCTTCAACGATCTGCGCCATTCCCGTGTCTCCAGCCACTCAGGGACCACCATTAAAAGGGCTGCTGGGTCGGTAGCCCCACGGGCCGCGTGTCCTCTTCCACTGCCACCGTTATTTCTCCTATTAGACAGTTATTACTCTCAGGCTGTCACAGTCTACAGAGGAAGTACTCCGTAGATAGCCAGAAGTTTGGAACTACTATCTATATACGGAATACGGAGGAAGCTCCGGAGGCGTGTCCCTGTTGCACAACCATACATAAATATGGGCACACCATAATCCTAGGTACTCCGTAACGGCCAATGATCCGAAGACTCATAATACTGTGTCCAATTCCATTGTCTCTTAGCAAGGTCAAGGACCATTGTAAAGAGCCAATCTGCCTGAGAACCAAGCTACCAGGGATATACACTCGTCATCAACTGACAATGTTGCCGGCGGACTGGGATCCCGAAGATGCTCCGCTCCATAGCAAGAGCGCCTTGATACTCCGTACTTATAACCTGATCAACTGCAGATTATTATCCTCAGCAGACATCGTATGGAGTAACGCGACCTTGTTACTAGTCTTCCCATCAGAATATGAATACTGATAATTTCCTGTTATGCGCATGTCCGCAGTCAGTGGCAACAAAGAGAGAGAAATGGCAAATCCGAGCCCTGTGACTGAAGATCTATGAGTGGACATGAATCCTTCTCGCAGTATCTGTGGGCCGTAACAGTGTGGATCGCGATCGGCCTGCTTAACCCCATGAGAGTGTTTGTTACAATCCAATAATATACTTCAAACGATGCGCACTCACAGACAGCTGGGGGACGCGTGTACAGAATACGGGGGTACATCCAGCAACAGAATTCATGGAAGGGTACAACAACGAAGATCTTGAGAAGACGACACCTGCTTATGGACCCAAGACGCGAGTATCATCTGCCATGTCATCGCCTGTTCAATATATCCCCTCGTTTCGTAATTGTACCGAGTCAGCTAGTACTGGTTATCAATACGACCAGCCATTTAAGCTTGAACATACGCCTTGGCAAGCCGTCACCCCTTTTGCGTCTTAGGTGTAGAAATCTGCACAAACATTCTCAACATTGTTGCACAAATCAACGAATCTGATGCAAATTACGCCAGTTACGTCAATCAAAGTTTTTTGAGCTAAATGTTATCCCACAATGCTGGACATCGCTTAGATGGATACGGACTACTGATTACGTCCAAGTCACTGCAAATTTTGCGTGCCCCTGATGATCATCTTCATCCACGGAAACGCTCTGATTTCTGTCGTTGCCCAACCCCTATTCGTGATTCGAGTTTGCGCCGATCCAAGCCATGTTCCACTGGATTGCTTTTTGCCAAGGCAGCCGGTCAAGTTAAGGGTATTTGTGGCGACCAATCTTGCGTGCTGCCTTCAGGGTTCGTGGTTTGCGGTTCGTCAAGATCCGCTCAAGCCTCAGGGTCCATCTGCCACTGAATTCTGACCACTTTGGGTAACGATTCACCACCGACCAGCCTACGGAAGTACTACGGGGGTCCCTGTACCTTGCACAGTGCGTGCGGAAGGCATAGACTCACCGCTATCTCCACTATCCATGCTCTGTGAAATGTTCACACCCTTCTATTCCCGTCAATTCATCGTTCGCTTCAGGGCCAGGGAATATACTCCGGCACACATAATCTGTTCTAGATACCACACCGCTAACAGACAACTTGGCTCTTAATATTTGCAGCAGTGTCAGAAGATGAGGCGGGAACATTCCGCTAAATGCTTATCGGACTAAGCCATTTGCTTTGGCATGGTACACTACCGAAGTGGAGGAGTCTAAAGGTCCGGAGGAACAAAAAGTATCGTTTTGCAACTGCTAGACTAACTTGGAGATTGATGAAGAGAATTGATCTCATTAATTGCTGTCTAGATTCTGCGTTTATCACTCGTATCTAAAGCAGTTATAGAGATAGTTAATCCGACATTGGTTCAGTCACATCGGTAGGAGATGAGTATATATATGTATCTCCCTCGTGATCATACTGGACTACGGAGTACTATGTCAGCACAAGGGCGAGGCCAGCGCAAATTCAGGTCTCCCGTGAACGACTCTTATAATCCTAGAGTCCATAACCTAGAAATTTGCTCAACCCCGAGTTTGTCCCTCTCAACATGGCAAGTATCGCAGATTCAACAACATGTATAACCCGTCTGTGTCATGCACAGGTTCCATGCATACGTCAAGAGGAATGACTATCGTCATTCCCTCCATTGTGCCACCTAAGGATATACAGCCTCCACGTTGGACGAAGCTGCCTCTAGTTTTAGATGCACCACGGCTTGAGATGTGCCACCACTTACAGCAGGTACCACCTTCAAGAATCCTGTACGCTATCTAATGCAGTCTGTCGTGTGCCGTTCACCCACTCCCTTTGAAGTAGGTCACGACATTGCCTTCTGATGGTACCGATCATGGCTGGTAAAGCAAAATTATTCAGTCTCGCCATAGATAGCAACAGTAGCTCCCAGTCTGCTGGTTGTGGAAGGGCAAACTTTAGTCACATAAGAATAAGTGCAGAGATGTAACCGAGATCTTATACTAAACGGAAGGGCTGGGTCTGCAAGAAGAAATATTCATTTCATCTGCCAATTGACTCTTCCCGGCCTTAGCCCCAAGGTTGAGACGTTGGACTACCTATAGAATCTATGCAAGTCAAAGGCGCAAAAAGCGATACTCATTAAGGTATGGTAAGAATGCATTCAAGCACTGTTTTATGTTCAATACGATTAAATGTAATCTCTATCATCATAATATCTGGTGGTAAGGCTTCTCAATCAGCATCATAAGCACCTTCCCGGTCCTCGAAATTCATGAAGTCATCCGAAGCTTGATCGCCCATGATTATCTTCCACGCGTCCTTCACCGCGTCAATGAGCTCATCGTCAAAGGCGAGATCAAGGCTAGGAGGCGGGAAGGAGAGTATGTTCGCTGACAGCGAGCTTCTTTGGATTCTAGGGGTACCACGAACGTCCTGGCTCAGGCGCCCCAACTGTGTAAAACGCAAGGACCACAAGATCTTTGCGTTGAGATCTGCACTGGACTGAAGGAGTTTGTGTATAGCACTTTCAAGAAGCGATTGACCATCAGGCCCAGGTATGGAGACACTAGAGTACAAGACACCTAGTATTCGTCAGCGGCGTGCCAGTCATTGTCAATGAGTGGAATATAAAGCATAACGACAAAACGCTCATTATCAGGCTGTCAGAGGTATGGTTTCATCAATGCAATTACAGGCAATGTAGATAAGTATTCAAAAAAGTCATCATATGAGCGTAACGAGAAGTGCTTCGTAAGAAGAAAGAAAAAGAAATGCAACTTACTTTGTCCCGATGGACACTCGCCAGTCTCGCTGGAGTGAACCAGAATATATACTGGGGCTGAGTCCTCTGGTTGACCTAAAAGAGCTCCTGGGAATACCACAACTGCACACACAGGAATTGGACCACCTTCTGCAGTAACCGGAAAGAGACTTTCCAGAGACGAAGAGACAACCGTGATTGACCGCGAAACCTTTTCATAACGAGCAGGGTCCAGGACGTTCGCAGGAAGATCCCAGTTTGAACCAACTAGGAACCGAGTTTTAATCGACTCATCATTGGCAAGTTGAACTTCTATGCGACCGACGTCGCTATTATCAGCCTCAATAGGGTCATTTCTGACCGACTTGATCCCAGAATCCAAGACGTATACTCCGCCCCCGACTGCGAGAGCTCGGCAGCCTACTTGAGAAATCTCGGATCCTCCACCCCATTTGGCAACCAAGCTTCCAAATCCAGGACCGAAGACACCCATAGAGGTCAAGTGCCTCTTGATGCGCGTCACAGCATATCCGGCTGACGTCTGGGTTGGAGAACTCTGGGCCAATGAAAGCGATAGAAGGGGATCGTGAAGCTCGGCAGGGACTTGAAAATTGGAGGTGAGATAGTCCGGGAACGACCCGGTCAGATCATCCTGTTCCGACGAGCTTTCATCATCCTGTTGAGGCTTGGCGATGTGCCGGAGGAATCTCATCAGCGTTCGCTTTGATTTAACGCTGATCACGTCATCGGCGAAAACATCTTCGCGGCTACTCGGCACACGGTACAAATCTGAGAATGCATTCACAGCCGTGTCACTGCTCTCAGAAGCCAAGTTGCCCGAAGGCCTGTAAATCCACCAGTTTCCAACCGCCTGAAATTCAAGCTGGCGGTAGACCTTCGAGGACACCAGCGTGGGCAACAACGCAGATCGACAATAAATCAGTTGCGGTGACAACGTAAGTGTGTATGCTCGAGAAGAAGCTAGCTGAGCATTGCACTCCTGTGTTTGCCCAGGCCTCAAAATGGACGCGTCTTCAAAAGAGAAAGACTTCGGTTCTAGCTTATTAACACCAGTCAGCAAAAAATAGTAGCACAAACCAAGGGCGGGGATGCCGCAAATTACMTTGATTCACTTGGGAAACCCACTCTTCAGCTTCCTGAAGGCTGAATGCTGCCTCAGAGCCTCCATAATATGGGTTACGGTCAACGTGAAGTACCTTCTTGCCTGACCGGGAGAGTGCCCTAAAAAGTCAGCAACAGAACGAGTAAGGCAGTTGCTGATAACCGACTCACAATGCTAGAAGAGACTGCGCCAGCCCTGTACCAGAGATTGTTACATCCCATGGCGTTTCTGCCAAAGATTCCATCCTGAGAATGAAATGGCAAAGCGTACAGAGCTGGGGGAAAAAGGTTCAGTATGATGCTATGTGATGAGCAAACCCAACTATCATCACGTCGGGTGGCAGGCAATGGAGCACTTCCTAGCAAGCAGGAATCTCCTGCCCATGAATGCGGTGGAAGTTTTCATCCGTCCTTGAAAGGAAGAGCTTCGAGGGAAGTAAAATAGAAAGCGACGGAGACACGCAGAAATACTTCCGTCCTGACCCGCACCGATAGTGCGGCACGTGACGAAGCTCGGGCCATATTCTTCGCGGTGAAGATACTCAAGCAGCAAGACATTTCTTTTGGACGGTTAATTTCTCATGGTCGCTCGGTTGTTTTCTCACTGATGAAGGCTATTCCTCTCCGTCTAGCATTCTGAGGCTGTCGTGCTCCTCATCCGAGGTGATCTGCTAGATAAATCTTCTACGTTGGGCTTCTGAACACCGAGTCGAGCTATGTCAGAACTCGACTATTCCAAATTAAGTTAGACAGCTTCGCTACCTTAGCACCTTTAAAAGATTGCGCTCTCGAAGCATCTTCCTTTTTTCCTAGCACACCACTCCCCAGTGCTCCGCACGGCATTCTGCGCTCTACCCATAGCAGATTCGTCTCTTGCCGACAAGCCTTCATTGGTCTTGTCCTTACAGGGAGTGGTAGATCGGATTATATCACTCTGTATCTGCTGCTCCGGATGGAGACATCTGATGGAAGCGGTTCGTTTGTAGTGATACATATCGTCATATTGTAGCTCTCTGTGCCATGGAAAAGTTAGACAGATGGCATATACATGTAGCAACCTTAGTACGAATTCCTAATGTCTGTGTGATCATGGCGTCTCGTTTCGAGTGCTGCGTTTCTTGTCACCACGACGTCAAGCGGTACATCAAGCCCGCATACTGGAGGTTTAGGCTGTTATCCTTCGAGTATCTCTCTCCAGGCTCCGTCCGAGAAAGGCGTGTGATGAAGATCGCGACGACATGTGCATATCGCTGCGAATCCTGAAGTACGTCTGCGATAGACCGCATTGCAGCTCGTCTCACTCCTCGCCTTCTTCCACGACTTTGGCGCGAATGATCTTGACCTCATCGACTGGCCTATCCTCGGAATTCGTCTTGACGAGTCCCATTCGCTGTATTACTCGCATTCCGCTTTTCACTCGACCGAAAATTGTGTGCTTTCCATCTAACCACGGTGTAGGCGCAAGGGTGATGAAGAACTGGCTGCCGTTGGTGTTGGGTCCACTGTTCGCCATGCTCAAGACACCAGCTCCTGTGTGCTTGAGTCCCGGGTGAATCTCATCCTCAAACTTCTCGCCGTAGATTGAACTGCCTCCCCTGCCGGTACCAGTAGGGTCGCCGGTCTGTACCATGAAGTTGGGGATAATGCGGTGGAAAATTACGTTGTTATAATAACCTCGTTGCGCCAGAGTCGCGAAATTCCTGCAAGTCTAGTCAAGTATATATCAGCATGTGAAGAGCGCCTGGGTCGAAGGATAAAGTTCCTTGCTTACTTTTGGCGCATGCTCGTTGTAAAGCTCTACCGTGAACGAGCCCTGGAATACGTTAGAGGAGCCAATTGCTGTGTGGCCACAGGATAGTCCCTACCATACTCGTGTCAAACACCACGTCAGTCGCCATTGTTTTCTGAAAGTAGCCAAACGAAGAAATCGGATATCTTCAAGATCGTGCTTCTACCAGGGCAGAAGGTGGTATTCGAACTTTCTAATGATCCCGCGGCGGGGATGGAGATACTTGTCTTGGCATCGATCATCGGGAAACACAAAGCTTCCACGCTTGTCACTCTTTGGTAAACACAACGTCCTACAGCTATGAACTGATTCCCAACCACAGCGCAACCAGATGAATATTCTCGACTTAAGCTGACGGTTATCCCTATTTCTCTACTTTTCTACTTGTGGCCCGGAGTCTCGCAGTTGCCATGGACGAGGTCAGTCCACTTGCGGAGCTCTTGGGGCAGGCTATCTACCAGTATACGAAGATCAAACCTTTCCTACCTACATACGGCCATCTGCTCGTTTCGGCTCTCTTTCCTATTTACATTGGCGCCCATGCATCCCTTTCGAGACCCTCATCCGCTGCCAAACCTCCCAAGAAAGACACGAATAACAACGAAACAGATAATGAGGAAGAAGACGAGGAAGGACTGGTTCCCGTTCAAAAGATGGAGGGCCTTGAGCCCAGTGATGCGCTGATGTTCCCTTTGACTGCCGGCCTCACTCTGGGTGGTCTGTACTTGATCATCAAATGGCTGGATGACCCAGCCATATTGAACAAGGTCCTTAGCTTTTACTTTTCTCAGATGGGCCTATTCTTCGCAGTCGCATTCCTGAAGGACTGTCTTTTGGTCTTTCGATCCTTTATTTTCCCGCGGAGATATCGATACGCTGGCAAGATTTGGAAGTCAAAACAGTCGGAACGAGTTTTCATAGCCGTTCAGCAGGATATTGCCCAGGGATCAGTACAATCCCGCCATACTCCCCTTCCCGGAATATTTGGCTCAATTCCATTACCTACTGCCTTGGTAACAGGCCTTTGGGTGTGTCGCAAGGTCGCGTATCAGAGGCTGAAGCTGCGGGCTCACGTGCGCGGCCTCTTCACCGGCGAATGTCTGGTGGGCCTGCTGGACGTAATCAGTGCGCTGCTGGCCATCTCTGCTGTTGGGTATTTCGCATTTGTGACGAAGCCATGGTGGCTGACGAACTTTCTGGGTTTCAGCTTCTGTTACGGTGCGCTGCAGTTCATGTCGCCGTCAACATTCAAAACTGGGTCACTTATTCTGAGCTCGTTGTTCCTCTACGATATCTACTTTGTTTTCTACACCCCGTTGATGGTGACAGTCGCTACAAAGCTAGATGTACCAATTAAGCTCTTGTTTCCCCGCCCGCCTGCTCCCGGTGAAGCTCCGGACGTTGTTTCCTTGGCAATGCTGGGACTTGGGGACATTGTCATTCCCGGTATGATGGTGGGACTGGCGCTCCGATTTGACCTGTTTCTCTACTACAAGAAGAAGGGCATTGAAAAAGCACGGCTCGAATCCAAGGGGCAGGAGATCATCAAGCCTCAATACCAGTCTGCAACTGGCGGCTGGGGGGAACGTTTCTGGTCTTGGCCCGTTGCACCGCGTGGACGTGGGCTAGAGCCCCCGTATCAGGATGCAAAGTCCTTTCCCAAGCCTTATTTCAAGGCCAGCCTGGTTGGGTACATTGTCGGAATGATATCAACCCTTGCGGCCATGCAATACTCCAACCATGCTCAACCTGCTCTCCTTTATTTAGTTCCCGGAGTGCTTTCTTTCCTGTGGGGAACAGCGCTCCTCAGAGGAGAACTCCACGAGATGTGGGAGTTTTCCGATGCCGAAGAAAGCGAACAGGAGGCTACAAACGAGAAGGAGGAAGAGAAGGGAGATGAAGCTCCAGCTAAGACCACAAAGAGTCTCTTTCTGCGAATCCTGTCAGGCGATATCAAAGCATTATACTCCGAAGCGCCTGAACATGCCACGGAGAAAAAAGGGGAGAAGAAATCCGAGAGTGGGGAGACCAAGGATTCGGCACAAGCGGACGGAGGACCAGATGACAAATCGCAAGGTGCAGATGAGGGGGAGGACTTGGATTTACTTTCAATATCAATCTCGCTACCCGGGAAAGGCAAGACCGGATCACGCAAAACTCAGACCACCAGGGTTGAGTCACCCACAAGCGAGAAGAGCTTGTCTGTCCTGAGTGCAGCAAATCGTGATGACGAGCCACCCGCCAAGAGACAGCGAAGGAGTCCTAGAATCGCCGAAGTCAGTGCCTCTTAGTTTTGCTTTCTGGGAATGATTTCTACGAACGGGGTTGCATGGGATGTTTGCGTTTTGCAATTTGGTTCGGATAGACGGAGTTGGGATGGACTAACTCGGCATGCATACCCTACGGGAAGGTAGCAAGTAAGGTAGAATGATCTGTTTCAAAAGTTTCTTCAAAAGTTTCAAGTGGTATCGTCATCGTCCTCAAAAGTTAAGATATACAAGTCAACCCCGCGAATCAGCAGCTATCAAGAATTCGTTTCATATCATCCCATCGCTGCGCGGAGATGTCAACCAGCTGCTTCAGCTCTCTAGTGTCCGCTGCCCATCCACCGTTCTTCTCCATTTTCACGATCACTGTCTTCCCTTGCCCTGCATTCTCTTTGTCGACCACGATGCAAATCCTCTCCTGGCTCAAATTCTCCTCATATCCATCAGGGTCAGCAAGTATCCACCTTCGCTGGATGCCTTTCCTGTTACTTTCCTCAATCTTCCTCTCTTCTTCAGCATCGGGAATAATGACCTTTCTCCACCCAGAAGCTGCATCTGCCTCGAAGACGCAGAACGAGCTGGCGACAGGCATACCTCGCAGCGACAGTTTGTGCGCCTCAGAGACCGCCTCCGAGCATACCACCATCTCATTATCGACGTCCCACCATGTCTTGGGCAATTTCGTATCCCGAAGTGCAGCCAAAACAGCGGCCCAGGCAGCATCAAATGGATTGCCGGCTAACGAGATGATCATCACATCAATGTAAAGCACCCAGAAGGCCTTGATTTCTCTGCTCTTGGCACCTGCATCGCCCTCTTGAGCATCCACATCCATCTGCTCGTCCTCATTATGCCGTTCTAACTCCTCTGCTCCCAGGTTCGGCGGCTGATACCAGATTCGCAGATCCTCTGCGCGTACTAAGCGGGTGCTGTGTAGGAGTGATAGGATCTGATGTGACAGCGACTGCGCCAGCGCCGACGGTGGAGCGCCCGGGATGAATCCAGGTGCGCAGCCAGTGCTGAGTGAAAGGTTCGGCACGAGCAAATTAAGGTCTTGGATGTGTGATTCGTCGTCTTCGTCTTCGTCTTCGTTTCCATTGCTGGCTGCCACAGTTGGCTTCTCAGTGGTGTCCGTTAATTTTCGTCGCTTGTTCGTAGAATCAGGTGGCGATGCTCGCGATACACTCCA